GTCGAAAATATTGAATTTTTTAGTGTGTCTCTGAGTAAATGTAAATTAGAAGTATTTGTATTTTGCACTCTCATCACTGAAAATACACTGGTAAAGAAACTGGTTGGATTGATCTTTATCTTAGTTGTACGATCATCAGATTGAACAGCTCGTGTACCAATTTTAAACACACAATGAAAGAAGAATACTCACACAAGGAATAATAGAGAGAACTCTTCAAAGTCTGCTGAATCCTTTGTTGATCTACAACTGAAATAAACCGATTGTGTTTTAAAGCATCCTGAAGAAGAATTACTAGATAATTGAGATTGATTTTGCTCTAACTGTTGTTTTTTTCCCATTTCATTTATATCAATAATATTGTGATGTTCGTACGATATAGGTGTCATGTATTTTTTTCTTAGACGGTGTTTCCATTTTAGTTGTAGAATAATATTGTTCATAGAGTGCGTGCGAATACAACATGAGTGGTCTCACTTTAGTAGGAAAAGAAGAAGTAAGTAGGAATTTTGGTCGATTCGTTGTCGTTAATAATTTTCGAATTGAACAAATAATAATTGACGAGAATGACGATAAAGTTTGAATAAAGTTTCATTTTCAATGATTCGTATGAGTACGATATCGAATGTAAATCATGTAATATAATTGAAAAATGCTGTTAAAAAACATCTATACACCAATCTAAATTCAGAAGACATTATTATAGTTGGGCTTTTGTTTTCATTATTTGTTTACCGAACAAAATGATTTGAATAGCACCAAACATTAAGTTATGGCAATATAACTAAAAGTAAAACAGAAAGACTTATATTTCTGTGTTGATACTACAAGTGAGAAAATATTGTCTTCTTCTTACATCTACTCTATTTTCTTGTTTATGCATAAAACCACTCGGTGTTGATGTAACAGAATCTGTGTTCACACCATTTGACATACTACAGTAGTTAGACTTACAAGAATGCTCATAGATACACATACTTTGAACTTGATGGGCTTAATTACATGATATAGAAGTTTTTTTAACTTCAGTAGTTTTACATATTATAGAATAAAATTGTCCTACTTACTTTTTCATAGTGATTCAGAATATAATACATTTAAAAAGTTACTGATATAAATCTAATTGAAACTTGACAGTTTCTGTAGGAAGAGCGAATTTGTGGCTACACATATTATAGTTTAGTCATCTGATGTATTTAAGGATATTTGCAGCTAAAAAGTAATAGAACCGAAATAAGAAGCATATAAATGTGAGCAGCTTTGGAAGCTCTATCAAATCATATATACTAAATTAGAACGAAAAGAAAATTCACTCGAATTTTGCATGTCCAGCACTTAACGAAAACAGGAGGTTTTCCATGCAAAAAAATCTGAAAAACATTAATTAGAATTATCAATGAGTATATATAGATGCTATATAAGGTCATCGCTTTGTATTCCGAGAGGGAGATCGGATTATCACAATTTTTATAGTTTGTTGTGCTTTGTTTGCATTGATCAATTCGATTACTATAAATTTATGTCATCGAGAGCTTTTATTTATTAACATAAAATAGAACAAGTTTTAAAAACTTAGAAAGAATGATTGAGTAGAAAAAATCAAAGAATTTGAACAATTATCGAATAGTTCAATCTTGCCAACTGAAAAATCCCTTCAACCTTTTCTATCTTCCGTCGGAGCGTATCTCTCATGAACCGGCAATGTTAATTTATAGTCAGGAATCCACCATTGCCAGCATGGTAGCTTGGGATACACCGTATATCCAAAACACCAGTTCGTGCCGGGACAACACCAGACACCAAAGTATGGCCGACAATATCTATTTGCCCATGCCTGAAAGAAGGGACGCATGCATTGCAGAAATTGTTGAAATTGACACCAGCATAGGTAATATTTATATGTCCACCAATACCAATAATAAATAATACCGGTTGCACGGTAACCGTAGTTCTGAGAATCTGTTACTCGTTCCACTGCAATAGCAGCCGCTGTGCCATCATACATTGCTTTATGCTGGTCCTCAGTCAAGCTCAATACTCCGGTCTCGTCATCAGTGTCCCTCGCCACACAGTGGACAAGCACCAGTGCAGCAAATATAATCATTATTGTTGATCGTTTGTCCATGATATTCTAAAATATTTCAATAGTCTAATTACATGAAAGAATATACATTAACTTACTTTTTTTATAAGCAATCTTTCAAATCAACACACATATTTATACAAACGACGAAATGTGTATCAGTAGGATTTAGTGAAGTGTGACATATTAAATAACAAGATATTTTTATTCTCTTAATGGCTTCTTATTTAAAAAGTATGACGTTCTTTCAGATATACAACACATATTGCGCTTAAAGAAATGAGTAATTACGTTCGAGGCATGATTTCGAGCCAGCAGCATTATAATTTAATGACAGAAAGAACTAAAAATAGCATCTTCGTAGTTTACTATGAATCCTACACTCTTGACTCTGGAGCAAAACTTAAGCTTTTCAACACACAAATCAATCGAAAAATATTTTCTAACATTGTATATTGCTAGATGTTGTAACATTTACACCACTCACTTAGACACAAAAAATTCGTTAGAGTGCTTTGAAGATGGTGAACATCAATATATTCACTTGAAGTTTTCAATGCGTAAAAATATGTATTTGTTTTTCCAATTTCTTTTTCATTCAAGTTTGTTAATGTACCTGATTTTTGAATTGATTATATTTTCAAAATATAAAATTATATTTCATAGATCTGAATCGCTATAAATGAATAACTTTTGGTTATTTCAACCTTGTTATAATTTTCTAACAAAGAATAATTAGCCTAACTTTGATTAATAAGAATATATACTAAACTTAAAATTCTTTTTTTTGTGGATTTTAAATATAGTAAGAATTCTGAGAATCAAAATTAAACTAATAAGCTATCGTTGAATGACTATACAAAATATTGAGATAGTTAAGAATTTTCGAAATGACCTCTCATATAATTCAGATGTATGAAATATAATTTTTCTCTACAGCAAGCACACTCAATGAAGAAAGTAGATACTTTGAAACATGTAAACATATATGATGAAAATTATTCCAGCTATGAGAGTTTTATTTAAGTGATTAACATTTTTTCCAATTAACTTCTTTGAAATTTGTCACATCACTTTCAAGATATTTTGTTTTTCTTTGTATTTTTACTCTTAGTTACTATTGGTAAAAATCGATATCAATGACTGAATCATACTGAGTCATTTTTGTCATTCTGTCATTACGGGGTCTTATTTGAAGTCAGGTTTCGACAATATTTTTTTTACATAGTAAAGATGAATATATAATCAGCGCATATATTGTTCGAAAACGTATTTCGTTAATAATGACGTCACCAGAGTACGATAAATTTTCGATTATATGCTGTAAATTTTTTTAAAAGTTTATTTTCTATGAAATCGACTTCAAATAACCTCAAATATATTCAAACTATTATTATTCTTTCATTGAATTTTAGTATTCAAAAAATGCTTAATTTTCTAAATTATAAAATTCAATTAGATTTTTGAGGAAAAAATAAGTTCCAAAAAAATGAAAAATCAATGCTCATTCTAAAAAAAAATCTCAACAATGAATTTCGGTTTGAAGGAAATCATTTTATCAAGTACGATATGTTTCTTATAATTATTTTAATAAGCCCTACTGTCACTTACAACATGAACCTTTTCTGTTGATTTTAAAATTTTGTTACGAAAAACTTTTACAATGGAAAATAAAAAATCTTTTCTACTTGTTGTAGAGAAACTATAGAATAATTAATAGTTCATTACTACACAAGATGAATAAAATTATGATTTAACTGACTTACATTTAGTAAATTATATCATTTTATCATTTTTTTAAAATCTTAAAGGTCATAAATTTATTGTTTAGAGAAAACTGATAATGTCAGTTTAACCGATGGCGATTTGGCTTTCTCCTAGCTCTAACAACTAGGTCGAAACTAAATTTTCACTCTCTTTTCCACAGTCAAATTCAGAAAGTTGTTTATTTCTATTAAAATATGTGAGCATAAATAAAAATGACTGGTCAAAATCTTCTAGAATCATTTAAAGCATTCTATGGATTTCAATGGTTGATAAACCATTCCCTTTGACAATGCTATACTATAGGAGAGGAGCTATCATTTTAGAAAGATTTTCTCACATACGAATTCTGTATCAAAATAATAAATCAAACGAGTACATATTAGTTTCATATTGCAACTTATGTAAATGTGTACTGATATAGTTAACTTTTATCATCAGTGGTTATTTTCACAAGTCCAACAAAACCAAGTAACGAAGATAATAAGAACGAACAAATTTTACTGATACGATTTATAGTTAAAAACACATGACATAAATAATGAAAAATTAATATAAACATTTCATTGAAGTTTTTTAAATTAGATCATTAAAGAATTAATGATTCATGCGTTCGATAGTTTCTTCTAAGACCAGAGATCACACGAGAGACTTAGGATTGGAGGGTGATATGTATACATGCTTCTCTATGTTTTTCATGAACGCTGAAGGTTAAAATCTGATTTGTGCAGTCGATGCTTTTACAAATCGTCTGTCAGCATCGATACTGTTTCGTACATTGAAACGAGTTACGGATAATAAATGAGTGTATTGTAGTTCGACAAAATTTTACATCGCGGTTAATATGGGTATTCTATCGTCATCAAAGACATTCTCACTCACTAGCTCAATTCTTAGCCTGGTTATCGTTCGTTCGACAGGGATGACCGTCGGCGAGACCGGGCCAATATTTTAGTATGGCAAAATTATTAAAAAGCGTAAGCAACTTATTTAAAAACTAGAACCTGAAATTTTTTTTTCATATACTTCGATTATCATGCTAAGAAGTTTCTACTGTAGTCATCCTGTTCCTTTTATATTAATTATTTTCATTCTTAAAAAAAAACAAAAAATGGCATTACAAACTTATCATAAAATGACTTTACCAATACAATTAAAATACGATTTTCCTGCTCTTCTTTACTGGTACAAATTCTTTTATTATTTCATCATAGTCGATTTCAGCATCATGTTCAATGTTCAGAAGTGTAAGTCCTGATAAACAATCTTCTCTTGTTGGAGATCGAAGATAATTTTTAATTCGTCTCAATATCGAAAAGCTACTTTCGTATAAACAAGTATTTACAGGTATAGCCCATAAAATCTTAAACAATTCATTCATCACGGGTAAACAAACATTCAAATGATTTTCCAGAATAGACGATCTAATTTCAGGCAAAGTTGCTTGAGAAGTAGGTAATTTTGCCTTGTATAAACGTTGTTCACCTCGTAGATCATCATAACTTAACGAATACTGTTTTGACAGCTGTTTTAATTCATTTTCATTCAATAGTACTTTAGTTAGAAATAATTTTTCCATTAGTAAAATATCATCAATCATATTTTCATCGAATCGATTTTCAATAAATGTAATAATTGTATCTAGAACAATATAATAAGTATTTATTCTATAGTGATCTTTATAATGTTAAAGTCATTTAATGTTTTATCTCCACCTCCAAGACGAACAGGAACTTTTTTCTTCTTTAGCTTTTTCAGTGAATCGATTTCATTTTCTTCACACATCTATAATGCAGCTGAATAAAAACTTTCGAACTCTGTTTCATTTCTTAAAGACTTCAATGTCTCGACAGTCATTTTTACTTGCTTGAAAGCTTGACTGATACATATTTGATAACTTGGCAGATATTTCGATAAAATATTCATGATTAGATATATTTCAGACATAATAAACAAATGCAACACAAAGTCACATGACCCCATCGAATTAAGAAGTAGATGTGATTTCGGTGATTCCATTGCTTGAAGTATTGAAACAATTTGTGTATATCAAATCAAAACGACTTTTAGACCATCCTATCTACATGTCCATCTAGTATCTGATAGCTGTTTGATTGTTAAAGATTTTTTTATCCAACTTCCTCTTGTATTTCTTCGAATATGGCATGTCTTTTGGAAGAACTTTCAATCAAATTATATAACGATGAGATAATTTCAAAATTATTTCTAACCGAAGGAACCCTAGCTGAAACATCAACTAGACATAGATTCAATATATGCCCGTTGTAGTATATGTAAACCCCTTTGAATGATAAAGAGAGCAGCATAACAGATTTAGAAAAAAAGAAAAATTGTCTTTATTCTTTTTGTTTCTTACCACATGGTGCAACTTCTTTCAGGCGCGCTGCAATACCTCTGTATATGCCTCGCATTGCAGATGCTCCATCATATGATTGTGCAACAATATTTTTCACTTCTAAATTCAATGTCTTCAACCATTTTAATAATAATTTAAATAATGCTCCGCCTGTCATTTCTGTTGTTTTCTCAAAGCTCATGAATCGCTCATGAACATTAAACTGCTCCTCTGTGTATCTAATTACTAAAGATACCTGTTCTAGTTTTGATATATCAGTTGTTTCATCGATCATGATAGAAAAGTATTTAACTTGTTGAATTTCTTGTACAATATGACTCAATACCTGTATACCCATCAATTCAATCAACTCATTTTGTATTGTGTAATCTGTGAATTTTATTTCTTCTTTCTTCCTCTTTATGAGTTCATTATCATTATTTCTTAGTTGCAATAATTCTAAGAAATTACCTTTATTTTTGGATTTCACATTTTCTCGATCACCATGAACTAAAATATGAAGAAATAACTTGATCAAAGAGAAGAATATATCAATATATCTTTAATTTAAAATCGAAATATACTCTCATAACTTAAAACCGACTCCTTGTCATCCAAGAAAATGAACTGTCCGAATAATTTCTTTTAGATATACTCGATTTTGAGTTGCTTGTTTCGACTATTGTTGATCCATTAATTTTAATACATCTGGATTATTATTATAATTTTGCAGCGTTGTTTTCCATCTTTCAAACGATTCCTTGTGATAATTTGTCGCTTGATGACCATTTAATGCTAATGTTCCATTTTTCCATAGATAAAAGCCAGTAACTGTGAATGTAAGCGGATGCTTACTTTCATTATGTAAGGATCATGGAAATCAGAATGTATGATCCAATGAAAAGATGAGGCTTTAGTTAATCTTTCTTTCCTTAGTTAAAAACTATCCTGAAGACGCTTTTAAATCCCATAAAAAATCAAAGGAGAACAAATAAATAATCCATGTCTATATCTGCTCTAGAACAAATGGGTAAATCGAAGTTATCTAAGAATACCTCTGTAGAAAAGCAGAAGTCACTTTTGGTCTTATTTTTCTTTGTGCTGGCTCCGGATAAAAGATTGGATCGAAAAAAATAGCCGTACAAGAAAGTCCATAACTAATAAAAATTTTTGGTATGGCAACTACCATACTTTGCCACCATGGTGGCCCGCTACTGAGGGACGACACATTGAAAAGTACAAACTCTAGCTCAAATGCTCATGGCAAATAACCTATAATGCAAAAGTAATTGCTGAAAATTCAAACCATAGTTCTTCGCTTAAGAACCTCTTGCAGAAAAATTTTCTTTTTGACTAAAACGACCAGTATCTGAACTTCAAATATTGTATCAACTATATTTTCCAGCACGAATGTGAGGACGAGCAAAAGCCAAAAATCAAATCCCCCAAGACATTCTTGTAACTTGTCCATCGAAAAATACCAGTTTTTTATTCGTATTAACCTTCTTAATATCGGCAGAGAATGGAAAACCACTTTCAACGAAAATTTTTTGTAGCATAAAGGACAATCGTTTTAATTTTATATTGAAAGATAAATTTGTTCCTTGGCTTAATCATGAACACACTGCTTCGTCTAGACGAGACTGAATAATTTTTTTCGCGATAAAAAGAAGGCCTCATTTAACCTTTCTTTTTTCAATTTAAGAATGAGCATTGACTTTTCATTTTTTTGGAACTTATTTTTTCCTCAAAAATCTAATTGAATTTTATAATTTAGAAAATTAAATATTTTTTGAATACTAAAATTCAATGAAAGAATAATAATAGTTTGAATATATTTGAGGTTATTTGAAGTCGATTTCATAGAAAATAAACTTTTAAAAAAAATTACAGCATATAATCGAAAATTCATCGTACTTTGTTGACGTCATTATTTACGAAATACGTTTTCGAAAAATATATGCGTTGATTATATATTTATCTTTACTATGTAAAAAAATATTGTCGAAACCTGACTTCAAATAAGACCCCGTAATGATAGAATGACAAAAATGACTCAGTGTGATTCAGTCTTTGATATCTATTTTTACCAATAGTAACTAAGAGTAAAAATACAAACTAAATCAAAATATTTTGAAAGTGATGTGACAAATTTCATGTCAATTAATTTGAAAAAATGTTAATCACTTAAATAAAACTCTCATAGCTGGAATAATTTTCATCATATATGTTTACATGTTTCAAAGTATCTACTTTCTTAATTGAGTGTGCTTGCTGTAGAGAAAAATTATATTTCATACATCTGAATTATATGAGAGGTCATTTCGAAAATTCCTAACTATCTCAATATTTTGTATAGTCATTCAACGATAGCTTATTAGTTTAATTTTGATTCTCAGAATTCTTACTATATTTAAAATCCACAAACAAAAAGAATTTTAAGTTTAGTATATATTCTTATCAATCAAAGTTAGGCTAATTATTCTTTGTTAGAAAATTATAACAATAAGATTGAAATAACCAAAAGTTATTCATTTATAGCGATTCAGATCTATGAAATATAATTTTATATTTTGAAAATATAATCAATTCAAAAATCAGGTACATTAACAAACTTGAATAAAAAAGAAATTGGAAAAACAAATACATATTTTTACGCATTGAAAACTTCAAGTGAATATATTGATGTTCACAATCTTCAAAGCACTCTAACGAATTTTTTGTGTCTAAGTGAGTGGTGTAAATGTTACAACATCTAGCAATATACAATGTGAGAAAACATTTTTCGATTGATTTGTGTGTTGAAAAGCTTAAGTTTTGCTCCAGAGTCAAGAGTGTAGGATTGATAGTAAACTACGAAGATGCTATTTTTAGTTCTTTCTGTCATTAAATTATAATGCTGCTGGCTCGAAATCATGCCTCGAACGTAATTACTCATTTCTTTAAGCGCAATATGTGTTGTATATCTGAAAGAACGTCATACTTTTTAAATAAGAAGCTATTAAGAGAATAAAAATATCTTGTTAGTTAATATGTCACACTTCACTAAATCCTACTGATACACATTTCGTCGTTTGTATAAATATGTATGTTGATTTGAAAGATTGCGTATAAAAAAAAGTAAGTTAATGTATATTCTTTCATGTAATTAGACTATTGAAATATTTTAGAATATCATGGACAAACGATCAACGATAATGATTATATTTGCTGCACTGGTGCTTGTCCACTGTGTGGCGAGGGACACTGATGACGAGACCGGAGTATTGAGCTTGACTGA